ATCGTACGGTGTCGAATAATTTGGTGTCGAATAAATCTGTGTCGAATCGAGCGGTGTCGAATCGTACTGTGGTCAATAGAGTATCACCCTAGTCGATTTGCAACGTTGCGTGCCGCTCTTCGATCTGGAATCATTTTCTGTCCAGCATTCCGATAGTTGACTGGACGCGACCCAACGTAATTTTTTTGGATCCAGCTTTCTGCAAATTCTCACATGTGCGCCCTATGCTCTGGAGCACTTCGTGTTGAATCTGTATCAAGTTATCCATTTTTTATGCTGTTATCAATTATGCACCACGAACTGTTTTTCCTAGCACTGCACCGATCCGGAAAATGTAAATTCGGCTTGAAGGACCAACAATATTTGCAATTTTTGTAAAGTCAAGTAATTAGTTACTCAACTTCACTCACAATAGTAAATTAAAAATGTAAAAAATAACGTACAAAAGTTTACTTGGTGCTATTTTTTGATATCACTTTTTTTGTACACCACGTTTGTAGAGAAAGAATATTTTGTATTATTTAAATTAAATACAATACGTGTTATGCGTGTATTTGGCGCTTGTTTTTACTTTTTCTTGAAAAGGTAAATTTTTTGAGAATAGTAAAAAGTTTTTTAAGAATAGTAAATAAACTAAATTTAATCTCATAAATTGTAACATACTTATTTATTTAGTTTAGAATTAACCTAAATACATTCCTGCTTATATTTTAGAACGTACCTGGACACATTCCTGCACACATTCTTGGTCTAGAGACGACGTCCGAACATAAATTTTTGGTAAATATGCATAAAAACGGAGCACTCTCGGAGGTCATTGTCCTTGACATATGTTGTCAAGGATACCTCCCTAAACAACAATCTGAAGGTTTTAGCCGTCGCTCGTTGTTCGTTAAAAAATTATAAACAAAAGAATTTGCGGCAATAAACTGTTATTTTCCGACACTGTGTACATTATGATTGTGTTGTAAGCGTGTAGGCAGGGGAAGCTGCGCCCCCTGCAGGAGGAGGGGCTTTATCCCTCCCCTCTTCTCTCCTCTCACAAAAAAATAAAGAATTCAATTAAGTGTCAAGTAAAGAATTCAATTAATGTTCTACCGATAACGTGGAATATTACTTCGCATATCTTGCCAAATTTTTTCGGTGTTTTGCGTGTGACAATTATTATGAAGATCTACAAAATTTTCTTTGTGATTTACTGTATGGTAAGTGTAACCGTGCATATTGATGTTGTTATATGCCTTCATTTTTTCGTAAAGGAAGAACAGAGAGGATGAACAAAGCCCCTACCTCTGCGGGGGGCGCAGCCCCACTTTTGCCTACACGCTCATAACACAAACAAATCATACACAGTGTGGGAAAATAAGAGATCATTTATGATATTTCTTTTGTTTATAATTTTTTAACAAACAACAAGCGACGGCTAAAAGTTGCAGATTGTTGTTCAGGAAGGTGTCCTTGACAACATACGTCAAGGACAATGACCTCCGAGGGTGTTCCGTTTTTATGAATATTTACCAAATTTTTTTACATACATTTTTGTTTATGTACTTACGGTTGTCATCTGTTGGTTCTTTTATTTGCAATTACTCTCGTTGCGCTCTCTCTCTCTCTTTCTCTCTTTCATTACATATTACAATTCCTTTTGTTTGTTCGCGCTCATACCATTTCTTATTTTAGAACTAATCTGAATACATTCCAGCTCACATTTTAGAATGTATCTGGACACATTTCTGCACACATTTTTGGTCTGGAGATGACGTCCGAACATATTTTTCACATACATTTTCGTTTATCTTCTATTATCTCCGTTCAGAAACAACAAACAAAAAAACGCAAGAATATTTTTTTTCATTAATAAATGAAATATCGGGTAGTAAGAGCCGTTTTGCAGGATGTTATGCAGAATGTGCTTCAATATATGTATATGTATACACATATACGATGAAATAATTTTTTTCCTCCATATAGGATGCGGGATTTGCATCACGTATATATAGAGG